TACTGGCGACCCGAAGGACACTGCGAAGTTATAATGGTAGGACATCGTTATATTGTTAACAAAATCGAATTGTCTCTGCAAACCTCAAAAAGTGCGGCAAACCTACATATTGCCTCATTACCCGACTAGGAAAGTTTAGTACAAGTGTAGATCACAGCGAGGTGTCTTCAGGCACCTGCACGTCGTAGAGGGCCTGCTCGACCTTGCTGTCGCTGTCATGAGGTTTACCATGTTCGCTCTCGTAGCTGCTATGCTGACAATCTTTAACCGCGGAACTTATTCCGAAGACATGGCTTCGGCTCGGCAACCGCGTCCACATCTCAGATACTCAACCTTCCGATTTCTCATCAACAAGTAACAACTCACTATACTAGCCGTATGGTCTAACATCACTAAATCACGCTTGTTGACTTCTTCCTCATGGATGGGTAAAGGAGGCGGAGAGGAGCAGGAGAGAAGAAGAAGAAGAAGAGGTGGTGGTGGACATTTTGCATAGGTCTGACATGATAGATAGACATCTCGTCTCGAACAACACACATCCCTCGTCCAGCGATCCCAAAAACCTAAAGTTTAGACTCACCCCCCTCTCCATCCCCCTTCAGCCTAAACACCTTATCCGGATTCAAAATCCCCCTCGGATCCAAAGCTCTCTTAACGCCCCTCATCACCTCCACACCCTCGCTCCCCACTTCCTCCTCCAACGCATCCCTCAACTTCATCCCAACACCATGCTCGCCCGTGACCGTACCTTCTAAGCTCAGCGCCAACCTCGCGATATCCATGATTACACTCATCGCTGCGTCGTAATGCTCTTGTGGGCACACGATGCTGGAGTGCACGTTACCATCCCCGATATGTCCGACGTTGGCACAAAACCAGTTTGATGAGTAGATGGCTGAGGCTTTGGCGATGAGTTCCTGAGTTCCAGCGACGAGGCGGGAGAGATTCGAAATAGGGACCGCGCAATCGCTGTGTAAGAAAAGATCCGTATCCTTCTTCTTCATAGCAAGGAGAGCTGTGCCCATGCATTTCCGTGCGCCCCAGATCACACCCACCGCTTCCTCCTCATTCGTGATTTCAACATGCGATGCGCCGTGTGTTCTACACAGCTTTTGCATGACAGCGATCTGGTCTCGCACACTATACACCGACGGCCCCGCAATCTTAAAAAACAGCGTCGGCACCTCTTCCCACATACGTGCAGGCGCAAGCCCAGAAACATTAACACACCGCATCTGCGGTCCATCCGCCAACTCCAACGCCTCAAGCCGATGACCCAGTTTCTGCAGGCTCACAACCACATCGACACCTTCTTGGAACGTCTTGAAAGTAGCAAGCCCAACATGCAGATTCCGCGGTATCGGCGCAAGACGCAACACCGCTTCCGTAACGAGCGCAAGTGTACCTTCAGATCCGATAACGAGATGCGTGAGATCGTAGCCTGCAGAGGATTTCCGCGGTCTGTGGTGTGTTTTAATGATGGCGCCGGAGGCGAGGACAAGGGTTAGGGAGATGACGTTTTCGGCCATGGTGCCGTAGTTGTAGGCGTTTGTTCCGGAGCAGGACATTGCTATCTTGCTTGGTGTTAGCCAAACACAATACACCCATAGCTGGCTAACGTTTGAACGAGCGCGTACATACCATACCACCTATCCTCGCCCCCGGCGCAGGATCAACAGGGAAAAACAACCCCCTCCCCTCCAACGCTTCATCCAACTCCACCCACCCCACCCCCGGCTGCACAACAACATCCATATCATCCTCATTCACCTTGACAATCCCCCTCATCTTCTCAAAACTCACACAAACCCCTCCCCTCACATTCCCCAGCGCCTGACCGAAGCTCGTGCCACCGGAAAAAGGCGTCACGGCTATACGACGCTCGTTGCATGCTTTTAGCACTATGGATGTTTCGAGGGTGGTTTGGGGGAAGAAGACTACTAGGGGTGTGTGGGTGGGCGGCGCGGGGGACCAGGGCGTGTTTGATTTGGCCTCGCGGGTGGAGAGGTCGAGGGTGTGGGGGATGTTGTGGGGGGTGAGTGAGGAGAGGAGGTTGTGGATGTTGGGGGCGGAGTGGTTGTAGGTGGGTGGTGGCATGATGGCAACGGCGGTGGAGTAGGGGTTGAGCAGGGTTTAGTGAGGATAGGCTATGTTGCTAGTCCCGGATGTCTCCAATCGAAAAATGGAAACTAGGACGTTGGAGTATCCGTGTTGAGACGGAAACGTGGTTGCCGAGGCGAAGTTATGTCTTCGGAATGAGTTCCGCGGGTAAAGACTCAGCACAGCACGTTCAGTCCTAACACATCTTATGCACGATAACCATGCTATCCCAACCTTCTGTTCTGAGGATAATCTAATAACACCATTCCCATTCCCATTGACAGCCTATGCATCTGAAGTCACATACCTTAGGCCCCCTCTCAAAAGTGTCGCATTTGTCCCGCGTAGGACGTGCTCCAGCTCCATCCGTCCCGAACACCCAGCCTCAAGAAGTCCCGTCCCATCTCCCCCTCCACCCCTCCATGCCACCTCACCCCATCCCAGCCATTCTGCCTAGCCCAAGCCCGCCAGTCTGCCATCTCCTCCTCACTCTGATAAACCTCTGGTCCGCGCAGAAAGTCCACCTAATCCTTCTTTTTACTCCTCACCGCCTCCTTCCTCAACCACTCTGCCCAAACGCCCAGATCGTCCGCTGCATCTAGTACTCTAGCCAGAATCTTCGTTCTTTTGTCGAAGAGCTCTAGTTGCGCTTGTGCTTGTCCAGGACTGTCGTGGTGCGCGTGGATGTTTTGCTCGACGACGACCAGCTCGCCGTTGGGGTGTATGTCGATTGTGACGGCGAGGGGTGCGTTGTAGGTTATTGGTGTGGAGACGGGGGTGGAGGTAGTAGAGAGGAGGTTGGAGATGAGGTCTGCTACGTCGGGTGAAGATGTTACGGCTTCAGGGTGGGGGACGTGCAGGGTGAAGCGTGGTGTGGGCGGGTTATAGCTTAGGGTGACGTCGAGTTGGAGACGAGGCAGGTCTCCCTGCGCGGACGTCTGCGGTGCAGCTTTTGGTGTAGATTGCTGGCCGAGCTTATGGGTCGGAACGGGCTTTTCGGGTGCGAGGTAAAAGCAGTCTCGTAGGAGTGATGTGACATGCGCGTACTGTCTTAGCACGGGCAGCATCTCAACCAGTTGCTTCGGATGGCTGAAGGGGAGGCTTTCTAGCGTGCGGCTGTATTCTAGCTTGGGTATGTAGAGACTCATGTCATGTCGCCTTTCCAAATCGCGTCCAGAAGCGTCTTGCTCTAGTACTAGAACCTTTCGCGAGCTGCGTATCTCGTGGGTTCGGTCGCCTGTTGTGTTGGACATGCCTGGATCTACCTCGCCTGGCCTCAGAGCCAGGCCTGCGAATGTGGTAGGACGGAAGTCGTCGGTGCGAGGCTCAATGCCAACGATCTGGTATAGCTGCATGTGCACAGCGAGCGGTACGACGAGAGGGGGGTTGAACTTGGCGACGAAGCGTACGTTTGGGAGGCGTCCAGCTGCGGAGTCGAGGTTCATGGCATCGTCGGTCTGCTCGGGAGGTTCGAGGTAGGTCGGCTTGGGGTCGAGCCAGTCTATCGAAGATGCGTTCATCAGCATATTGTCTAGGGAGACATTTGCGTCTGCGTCGGCTGACTTTTCAACGGCGTCGCTGATCCAGTCGTCGGAGATGCGGATGGGCGTGTAGAGGGTGGAGGGCGAAGATTCGCATTCGATGGTCAGTGAATACATCTTGTTGCGACTCCAGCGATGGTCTTCCGGGTACGAGGCAGACTCGGTCGGCCCATCTAGCTGCAAGCGTCCATCCATCCAGTACTCCAGGCTCAGACCGAGACACGATCCGCCGTTGAGCCTGGGTCGTCCGCTCTTCTTGCACAGCACTTCGCGCTCGGCCCTGTATGTTCTAAACCGCTCGTCAGGCTTCCTGTTTGCGAGCTCCGTCTTCTTTTCATGCTCAAACAGCTTCCGAAGGCTCGTGTAGACTCCCGCGATCGCATTGTAGCAACTGACCCCGCCGTTCTGCGGGGACCCCAGCTTGTCGAGCGTCAGCAGCTTCTCCAAGCTCTCCGAGAAGCGCTCGAGCGTGACGTTGAGCTTGCTCTGGCCGGGCAGAGGCTTCAAGCTGCGCACGAGAATCTCAGAGCCCGTCGCGCCGAAGTTGAGGTCGGCTCTCGATTCGTCCAGGCCGGTCTGGAGATTGACGCTGACGATCTCGTCGTTCTTGAAGGTGACGTCGCACAGGGCCTCGTCTCCGATCAAAAGACTCCAGGTGCCTGCCTCGTCCATGTGCTTCTCGCACGGTATGTCCATCTTCTTACACAGGGCCAGCAGTCCCTGCTCGCTGACGCGTCCGGGCTTCTTGCCGATGATGTCTATGATCTCGCGCAGTCTGCGGCTTCGCTCTGCTTCGTCGGCGCGTCCCATGGCACTTGCGCTCATGCCCAAGCTGGACATGCCCAGCCCGCTCATGGTGATGCCCATGCCCACGCCTCCCATGCCCGAGCTCGCGACGTCGTTGAGCATGTTAAGCACCGCGGGCGAGTCGTACGACATCATGTTGATATTGCCGGAGGGAGGGACGCTGCGTGGGGCGGGCGAGGAGAAGGCATTGAGGTGTCGCGAGGGCGTTTCTTTGTCTTTGGGCGTTGGCGTGGCCATGACGACGTTGGTGAGTGCGCAAGGCACTGCGTGAATTAATTATGTAGTTGAGTGAGGGGTGGGTGTCAGGATATTGTTGCGTACATATTCATGAAGCGAGGAGGAAAGGTGTTGCGCCCAAGGTAAGCCCGCGATGGTTTGGCCTTGGCGTCCATGCAGGGCAGGACGACCACCCCCAACTCTAGGAATGCAGGCTGCCAAAGTACTGACTATTTTTCCATGTGTAAAGCACGAATATATGCGCGGGGTATCATAACGCGACGCCTGACCGAAGCCCAACAAGCTGAACGCCAGCTCCATCTCCAGTATTCCAACTCAGTCCAACTCCACCACATCGTCCTCAAGAATCTCACTAATCTTTCCCTTTGCCCTAGTCCCCGCAGCCCTCCCCGTCTTCTTCTTGGGCGCAGCCTTCTTGGTTCTAGCTTCTTGCAGCAAGAGCTCATTGAAGATGTCCTCGACCCCTTCCTCATTGTTGTACTCAATCGCCCTGACCCGTTTCTTCGGTCGTGGCTGCTGCGCTTCTCGCTCGTTGCGCTCCTTCGCCTCGACCTCCCAGCGCTTCCTTATCTCGTCTTCGGTCTTGTTCTCCATGGTGTGGAAGGAGGCGTGGTGGCCACATCCGTCGCATTCGTATGAGGATGACGACTGGAATCGATTAGCTAGTGTAACGGCGGCGTGGGGTATCCAGACCTACCTTCAGCGGATGCAACATGAACCGTAAACACGGGCATTTGGCGGCGAGCAGAGACGGCTTGTGATTGCATTGGCCGCGGGGAGGGACATAGTTCATCTGCGTCCAGACATTGGGTGCGTTGCCGGCCATGCTGATGAGGTAGTTGTGGGTGGAGTCGAGGCGGTCAATGACCCGATTTGATCAAAGCGCGAGGTCGTCCATCGCATAGTGTTCACTGCGTGCACAGGTAGAGGTCGGGTTGCGCGCAAACGCCAAATTGACTCGAATTCACGTGCTTCGACTAGCCGTAACCGCATTGGGAAAACCCCGCTCCGCAAACCGTCTGTCAACGTCATAGCCGTCAACTGTGGCTTGCACACATGCGCAGTGTATCTTTCTCGAATAAATATTAAACAAGGTACATTATTCTCAGTAAGCACCGGTCTCACGCCACAGCCGTGCGGCATAATCGGCATCGTCGGCTCAAGCAAACATATCCTAATTGTCAATCGGTCCGCATTGGGTGTGAGAGTGTTTGATTTGGAATTGCCCCTCGTCCAAGCAAAGTATCATAACCCGACCAGAACTATGGCCAGACCCAGAACTGCCAATGATAGCAAACATGCCCCTCAACCGTAAGCAGCATAAGCGGACGGCTTCCCTCTACCCGTCATGCGTCGGCGGCAGACCCTCGCGACTTGAACCGAATCAGGCCTCGGCGCTAGGCCAGTGGTGGGGAACTTGGATGCGTAGGGCGCTTCTTGTCCAAGTTGACGATCGATACAGCGGGGTAGGAACTCGAGTATAAAGCCCGAGGTGAAGGCAGTCCAACACGACACTTGCTCTTTCAACCTTCACAGCTTAAACAACTCCACCAACCAACTTCCCACCCCACCAACTTATCAAGATGCCTGCTGGAGGATGCTTTTGCGGTAACGTCCGTTACGAGGTGCAGGGCGAGAGCGGAGGCAACGTGCGTGGTGTCCTAACAATTCTCCTGATGTTGCTAATGGAGTGTCCAGATCCTCTGCCACTGCCTTGACTGCCGCAAGATCACCGGATCCGCCTACTCAACCAACGCCGTCTACTCGGACGAGGGCTTCAAGGTCACCAAGGGTACGCCAAAGGCACACACAGTAAAGGGCGACAGTGGAAACGACGTTACCTCCATGTTCTGGTATGTATTCGCTACGGTATAGCGAGTGCTGTTCTGACCTTGTGCAGCGGTGACTGTGGCTCGACCATGTGGCGCCAGGGCGACACCTTTGCCGGCAAGCGCATCATCAAGGTCGGAACTCTTGACGACACCAAGATCCTCGACAACATGACGATGAACGCCGAGTTGTACGTCGACCACAGGCCGAAGTGGGTGGGCTCCCAGGAGAGCGCGGCGCAGAAGGCGGGCATGTAAGGAAGAGCGGTCGGGAGCGGGGAAGAAAGGCGGGAATAAGGTTTATCGTGATAGCATTGAGCCATAAGCCAGACGTCTACTCAGAGTCCGAACTCTCTGGTTCCTTCAAGCGTTCTCTCATCATCTGTGACTGTCAGTAGTGACCACACTATATGAACACGACACCCACCTGATTCAAACGGGCCTTGAGCTCATTGATCCTCGTTTCCTTGACCAGAATGTGCTCCTCGTCGAGCTCCTCGATGATGTATTCATTGTTGTTCTTGCTGTCAATGTCCACCAGCATGGCTTTGATGGAAGCGTCGCACTTGACGAGCGTGCCTGGAAATTCAGTATCGCGAAGACTGGTGCGAGAGGTGTGACATACCTCTGATAGCTTTGACCATGTTGGAGAGTGGATGCGAGGTTGCGGGGTGATGGTGGGCTAAGTAGAAGACTGGACAACAGGGTGCGAGCGCGCAACTGACGCGATTGCTTGGCGCCATCATCTGCAAGCCCCAGCACGCCATTCCGATGCCTCCGCTGCATCACTTCAGCACTCCCACCTTGCAAATATGGAGATATGCAAGGCTGATAACCCAACGTTATTGTACGCTCCAGGGCGTTCAGCCTTATCATGATGAAGGCTGCAGACCTTTTCGATTTCTTCACTGTATGAGATGCCACACAAAGATGGCTCCTTCGCGCCTCCTTCACCAGCTACTTGAAGAAGTAGCAAACGATGTGGGCAATGCAGGCGATACAACCGCGAACAGCCCATTCTCTGATATTACCTTGCCCATGCCCTAATCACTACCTTCGTCCCTCGTACAACAGTTTCACTGGGGCAACCTTACGAATGCTTCGCTATTTCCACTCAATACCCACACTACACTCACTGTAGTTCCACCGAGAACAATGGTCTACTTCAGTCTGCTTGCGGAAGCGCCCTCGGCGGCTGCACCAAGCGTCTTTCGCCGTGGCAACGACGACGACGCCGAACTCTCCCCAGAAGAACGCAATAACACCAGTTTCTACAAGTACTTTTACCTCCTCCTCGGCATGCTCGCGGGGCTCATCCTCGTCGCAGCATGGCTCATCCGACGCCGCAAAGTCCGTCATCTGACCGTCCGGCGTCAGAGCGGGCAACAAGCACCAGCGAGAGACGCCGGAGCCTGGCCTGGTACGCGGAGGCTCCTACACGGACGATGCAGGGCCACCAACTCTGTTCTCCTTCGCCAAACCGAGGGACTGGATGAGCATGGAGAGGCGCCGCCGCCCTATCAGCCAAAGTCGGAGGCGAGTTCTACGACTATCGCTATACCGCTTCGAGTCCTATCAGCAGAAGGGAGCGAGCGATCACTGCCGCCGCAGTATAAAGCGCTGCCATGAAGGTTGTCAAGAGGTTTTCGTTTGACGGGTCGAGATGACGAACGACATTCTATGCTCCAGCTTGAGGTTGTGTATCCATCGGGTCGCATACAGACCTCGTTGTACTCGGCAACCAAAACCACATCCCACCCAACAAGAAACCGCATAACCTTCGCAAGACCCCGCAGCGAAGATACAAAGACAGCATTTATCTACAACACCGATGGATAGCGAAGGAAACACTCCAAAGAAAGATCAGAGACAAGGCTACCATCCATCACATTCCCCATAGCCTTAATCAGTAATTACAAACCACCATAATCAATACCACAATCAATACCAACCTCCCATTCCTTTTTTCTCCCCTCCCCATGCTCCCCTCATATTTGTCACTGCAAAGTCATCAACTGCAACAATACAACACCACAGATTCGCCGTATGCATGCGTGAAATAGCGGCGGAGACCCGTTCGATGAGCTGCATACTGCAAGCCACAGCCACGCAGCAGTGGGGCGTCGCATCGTTAACGGACTGGGACCCTTGCTACTTGCCTTGCCATGCATTTCACCCGCTAATGCCCCCAGCTCGTCTCTGGAGGTCATGAACGCGAATGTTGTTGTTCTTTGTGAAGTGAACGTGCTGGAGATGGGAATGTGGGAATGGCATGGCCGTGTTGATACGAGGGGTTTGGTTGTCGCTGTATACTTTCGAATGCGAATAGAGAGTGAGGAGATACCTCTTCCAAACCGCATACTCAAACCACCCACGAAACCCCCACTCCCAGCATATCCATCTACACTCCATCCCTCGTCCGAACCACCTCCCCCTCCCCCGAACACACACACAGCGCAGTACTCTACGACACACACGTCACAGCATCACCGTGTTATTCATCAGCCCGTCAGCTTACCCCACCATCCCGTTTCCGTCACTTGCATGCATCGTGCCTTTCCTGTTTGGGGAAAGCGGGAAGTGGTGCGTATGACGCCATGCAGCATGGAAGTTTGGAGTGGAAGCTTGGAAGGGTTGGTAATGGGATTGAGGTGATGATGCGATTTTACACAAATACACATGTACCTGACTAGGCGGAGTTGGGTAGGTTGGTAGGGGTTGGTAAGGGTCGGTGGCTTCATGCAGGCTGGGGTTGATACACGGGCGGGTGCATTTTGCGATGCGATATCCGAGTTCGGGGCCGAGGGGACTTAGGATGGAGATTGGGGATGATGATGGAGGATGTAGGTGTTGAGCGTTATCACACTTACACTGAAATGTTACTGGGTAAGTATTTGAGTTGCTTGCTAAACACAGCAGACAGTTCTGGCGTTGATGCATCCGTTCGTCCATGCATCCATGCATCCATTCACGCCGACTACAATTGTACTACGGCATCGACCACCGGTTTTCTCGCATGGACAAGCCGCTTGCTTCAGGAAGGAACTAAGCATACTGGTTTAGCATACATATCTCCGATCCGTAGATACCTACATTGGCGCTAACGTGGCGGACGTCTAGAACGCGCATATACCTAGCTATGCATGCACGCCATCTTGGCCTTTCCTTTTCCTGTCTCGTGTTGATATGTGTTGATATGGGGGGAGAGTAAGAGTAAGATATGTGTAATCAACTCGACCGAACTAAGGACGAGCGGGAGGCGAAGAAAAGGAAGGAAGAGGGAAGAGGCAACGTGAGATGGGTTGCTTGGTCAGCTGTAGATGGCGAGAAAGGGTGAGAAAGGGAGTAAGAGGGGGAGTGGCGGTGTTTTGTGGTTATGTGCTGATTACGTGGATGCTTTGCGTGGGCGATAGGTGATGGAGACTTCGGATGGATGGTTCATGAGATACCAGACTGTTCCAAGGTTGGCATAATCCGATACCATATAAGAGAAGGAGTCACCAAGGGTATCATCACTCAAAGTACGACAATAGCCATTGTATACCAAGACCCATCCACCTACATATAATTCCATTGTTCTCCTTCTTCTTCATCTCCCCAACCATTCCAACTCAATACACACCCCGGTATCTGCCCTGCTACTTCATCACTCCGCAGTCATGTCGACCTCCGGCGGCCTTTTCATCGGTCAGTAAACAACCAACTAACCATGTTTCCCCTTCTCCCAGCCATATAACCCTAACCCTTCTCCGTCGAAAGTCGCATTGTGTACAATCTGCCTGCTAATGATACTCTAATGATACTAGTATGCTGCACAGAATCCAGTACATCTGCCCTCCTCCACCCATCCCACCACTTCAACACCACGCACGCCACAGTCCACGCCACAAACGGTGCGCGTGTTACCCAAGACGCTATCAACAGCATCTATTGGGCTGATCAATCCACGCCGTTGGGACTGGTGATTGTGATGGGACATGCTGGTACGTCTACCTCTTATCCCCAACCAGATGAGAGAAACGGTGGAAGTCGAAGCTCGAGACTAATGTCTGAATGTTTGGGAAGGTTGTACACATCTCGCAGCCGCTCCCGAAGACACTATCAGAACAGACATCCAGGCTCTCAAAGCGAGTCCCTACGTCCGAAAAGAAATACAGATCGTAGGCTACGTCGTAGATTTGTACTCGAGGACTCCAGGTACAGCAGCTACGGATGCGAGGTTGAGAGAGGTCAGGTACGTTGTTATTCTCGTTCCCTCCTACATTGTCTTTTCTAGAAAATCAAGCTGGCTGACAAGATAAGTGTACCGAACAGTGCTGGGACGACTGGGACGACTGCAGCGTCGGCATCGGCATCGGCATCGGCATCAGGCCAACAACGCACCTCCAGCCAGGGGGATAGTATGAGTCCGTTCTGGAGTTGAGTTGAGTTGAGCATCCTTGAACAATAGAGTGCTCAGACATTTCGTTACCAACTCTGATTCCCTTCTTGAACATCGTCTCGTCTCTTCAAACAACACAGTACTCATACATCCCACCCCCCATCTTACTTCAACTTCAACTTTCTGTTTGATAACGAGAGAACTAAGATTTATCATTCCATAAATAAAAACCATGATTCATTACAAGTCAATATGAGCGGGCTGGGCCAACAAATACACACATCCACACACCTACACACACACTCACACAGACTTGTATCAAAGAACTACCACCACCACAACCATGACATCCAAGCCCGCCTTACTACCATCTATCCCACACCCCCAAAAACCAACAGTAACATCAAGACCAAAACCCGGGTATCCAAGAAGAAAAAGTCACAAAACCACTCCACCTCTCAACCATCACCCCATCCCATCCCTCCCCCTCACTCCCCCAAATCCCTCATCACCCCCTCCCACCCCCTCAAACCTACGGCAAATCCCCATAAGTCTTCCCCCTCCTCCAAAACCTCTTACTCTTCTTCTCCTCTTCCTTCCTTCCCTGCTGCCGAGGCTCCGGCATCTCCGGCGGCCCGCTATTTTTCAAAAAGTCGGCGAGGTCACTCGTTGCCGTCCTTGATCCACCTCCACCAAAACCACTACCACCACCGCCGCCGCCGCCGCCGCCACCGCGGATATTATCAGCGACAGCAGGGGCGCGGGCTTGGAGTCTGGGTTTGTTGTGGGAGGCGGAGTTGTTGGAGGAGGATATGGAACCAAAGGCGGGAGTGCTGTTATTATGATTGTTACCGTTACCGTAGTTATTCCTCGGAGTGGATGTAGCGGATGACAACGATGGATTACTCGAAGCGGCCGCACGCGCACGCGCAGCAGCGATCGTCTCTTCACTCAGCATAAAAGGCTGAGGTTTACTCGTACTCGGAGGCTCCATCCCGTTTAAGAAATCCATCAGACTCTCCTGACGCGGGGCTTGCGGTCGCTTAGTCTCCGGCGCTTGGTGTCTTTGCACCTGCACCTGGGGCGGGTGTTGATTCGTCGGCGTCGGAAGAGCCGTCAACTGGTCCTCATCTTCATCCTCGTCGTCGTCGTCTTCGTCGGAGAGGTCGATGGCGTAGGGGTCCTTGACGCGGCGACGCGTGCGCATGATGTGTGGTTCGTCGGGGCCGGACATGCTGCCGGTGAGTTGCTGAGGTTGGTTGGAATACGCGGGCTGAACGACGCTGGGGGAAGGGATTAGGCCGGTGCGGGAGTTGATGGTTTGCGTGCTGTCCTTTGATTCTAGGGTTGAGGATGCGGAGCCGTATGCTGACTCGACGTTGCCGTGGCCACCGAGCATAGTCTCGAACTGGTCGGAGTCAACGGTTGTACGGAAGGGCGCTACGTTTCGCGGGATCCTTGGTTGGCCGTGATTTGCGTCGGGGGGTCCTTGGCGGATGAAGTCGATGAGGTCGCCGTTGCCGGTGCTTAGACCTGCGGGACTGCGAGGCTCCATGTTTGGGCGAGCTCGCGTCGCTGATCCGTTGGCGCTGCTGGACTGCTTCGACATGGACATCTTACGTCCGAGAGACGAGGTCGACTGGTTGCCCGACTTTTGGCCGTTCCCGCTGATGTTGACAAAGGGCTGCACGGGCTTCTCTTGTCCGGGAGAAGGACCAGTCGACCGAATAAAGTCAGCAAAGTCACGCATGGACTCAGACTCGATCTTCGGATCTCTCGCAAGCGGCCTGGTAACCACCTTCCGACTGGGTGAAGGCTTGTGATTGGCGGCGGTAGGTCCCTTTGCTCTCGGTGCTGTGGTGTTGGGCAGGTTCGCAGTGCCAAACGACTTGTCTTCGGCATTGACGCGGGGATACACAGTGACGGAAGATGCGGAGGGCCTGCGTAGTTCCGCCTTCTTGACGATGGGGGATTCCTTCTACAGATCATTAGCACATGTGATCCAGGGAAGCAAGCACGACTTACATCAGCAGTTCGCACGCTTTCGGGGGTTAATGTAAACTTTACCGTATCCTGTCCTTTGACCAAAGAGTCGAATTCGCGGGCGCGGTCTTCTTCAGACATGCGGCCGCTCAGTCCACGGGAGCGGTGGCTTCCAATAGACTCCCGTCCGCTTGAGACGACGGGATAAGCGCCCTGCTTCCGAAGAGAGGATGAGGTCGATGTACCGCGCTTCAGCGAAGAGTTGTCCGAAGAGGATTTATCGGCCACATGCGGAGAACGAGCCGAATCGTCCGTAGATAGGCGGTTCGTCGCTCGTCGCTCGGACGTGTCAGTCGCAGACGTAGGACTTCGCCTGGGACTGTCCGAGGTACGCACGCTCCGGCTCGTGTGAATCGACGGCGTCTTCCTTTTGTGCTGTGGAGTATTGCTCTCGACTTCCTGCAACGCTGGTAGTGACGAACCACGCGATGCTGAACGGGCTAGATCCTGTCTCCTCGGTGCGCTGGTGGGACCTTCGTATGCGGCGGGGCCTGGAACCAACTCGGCGCCAGTGAAAGACCTTCTGTTGACCTCTTTACGTGCCACGGAACGGTCTGGCACGTTGGGCTTGCTATCAGGCGAGGGGGTGTTGCTGTATGTAAGCGACGTTGGCGTGAAGTCTCGAGGTGGCACCTCAATGTAGCCTCCACTGCCCGGCCTCCTCCGCTCATGGGGCGAATCTGATGGGGAGTTTGAGGCTGACCGTATAACGCTGTCCGATGTTCGCGCGACGCCAATGGCACGATGCTGCTCTGGCTCGTCGTCTGATGGCTCGTCGTCGAGATAGGATCGCCCTTCGGAGTGGACAGGGGCTTTTGGTGTTGCCAAGGGGGTTCCAACGGGCGATTTGAGGCTCGAGCTGCGGGTTGAGAACGTGCGGATCAGTCCTGGAGGGCCGGGTCGTTCGATTGACATTCTCTTGGACCGCATGACCTGGGGCGGGCTTTCGGGGGTCGCCTCGTGCGTCTCATCTGCCTGCTCAGCCTTCTCTGTCTCCTCGACCTTCTCAGCTTGATGCTCTGGTTCCTGCGACGGCCCAACTGCGCTCCTTCGGAAGCCCATGCCAGTGGCCGCTGCGAATGCCACCATGGAGGCATCTTCCTCGGACGACTCGTCTTGTTGATACTCAGTATCTTGTGCAGTCTCCTCTGTTGCTTGTAGGGGGGTATCCTCTTCCTCAGCTTGTGGGGGCATGGTGAATTGTGGTGCCTGACGCAGCGGCATGGACAGGGGACGGGGCCTGTTGCTCTTGATGGAGGACTCCACCAGTGAAGACAGCAAAAGCACACTGGACGGCCGCTGCGGACGCTGAACGGGCGTCTGCATGCCTGAGCCCTCCGCCCCGTCTTCATATGTGGGCGCCAGGCCAGGCACCTCGATCTCGTTGACGTCGTTGTCGCCGATGGGGAGGGGTATGTTGGCGGCGATGTCGGTCTCGGTCGGGGGGTGTTCGGGCAGGGGCTCATGCTCGCTGTGTAGGGTGTTGATGGTCTCGCGACTGGCTTTGCGGTGGTGCAGGCTCGAGTAGCTTGGGGTTTGCTGGACACCTCGCGGGGACATGGGCGTGATGGGCGACCGCACGCGTTTCCTCCACGTCCGCCAGAGCCTGCCGAGGGCCGAGTTGAGGGCAATCTTCTCCACGTCGGGCTCTTCGATGATCAGACGCTCGATGAGCTGCTGCTCGTGGTCGTCGTTCTGCTGGGCCAGCTTCTTCATCCGCGCGGCCATGCGCGAAAAGGCCGCCGAGCCGGCGACCAGTAGTAATTGCTCGGCCACGTACTCGATGACCGAGGTGAGGAAGATGGCAGAGGCCCAGGCGACCAGCCCAGCCTCGTCGTCCTCGTCGTCGTCCATGCTGAGGCCGCGCTCCTGCTGGACATAGCGCTCCTCGTCCTCGTCCTCGAGCTCGCCCAGGCGGGTGTAGACCATGATGCGCAGGCGGGTGCGCTTCCACACCTTCTCCACGTCCCACCGCTCGGCAGCCCTAAGTTGCGCTGTGGAGAGCTCGTCGTCGTCCTCGCCGGCCAGCAGACCCTGCAGCTCCTCGTCGGCCGCCTCAATGGCATCGCGGGCCAGTCGCGGCTTGAGCACGTCGGACACGGCGGGGCGGATGGCCGTCAGGGCGGGCGAGCGCGCACTAGAGAGGAAAGCGAAGAGCAGGTGGTCGAGGAAGGCATTGAGGAGGGCCAATGCCTGTTCCGAGAAGATGGCGTTCTGCAGCTCGTCTGTGTCGGCGTCCTGGTCGCGCAGCTGGGCATTGTGGTGGTCGGTAACCGTCTGCGAGGCGACAGATGCCGCAATGTAGGCCGGCGCAGGCCGCACCGTCGTGGGCATCTGGAAGGTGACGGAGCTGGCCAGCGAGGGCGTCTTGTCGCTGCTGAAGCTGTGGCTCCGCGACGAGCGCGACGAGGCCATTCCCGCCATGCCAGTCGTCTCGGACAGGGCGTGTCGATGCATGGCGCAGGAGGTCGAGCATGCACGTCGGGAAACGGGGATATCGATTAGGCAGAGTAATATGCGCTGCAGCCGATGCGCACGAAGAAAAGTACAGCGCTCCACGCTACTACTACCACAAAGTTACGGTATTGCTATCATGAATTCGACACTCAAGCAACAAGAGAACGGGCAAAAGCACGGGCAAACGGCAGATGGGAGATTGGGCGAGCAAAAGAGTATCAGACCAGAATCGGGGTTGTCACGGCTTGTGAGAGACATCCCAGCGGCGATCCTGGACGGTAGTCTCCTGCAATGTGCCCTGGCCTAGCTGCTTTGCCCGTAGTCCCAAGTGGCTTCTCGCCCTCCACAGCAAGAGAGTCTAAGACAGGCTTTGTGCCACGCCGGCGTAAAGCCGCTCTACATATTGCAGTACATGTCTAGTAGCTGTCTACCAAAATGTGGCCAGTCAAGGTGGAGTCGTCGCACCATGGGACCAGGACCACGTCTCTGTTCCGCGCACCACGCTCGCCGTACCTGCAGCTTTTCTTTTTGCCCAACAGCCACCCTGCATCCCCGGGACGGATATTATCGTGCTGCGAAACAAAGTCGCCGTGTTTTCGGCGCGAGACCGTCACACAAGACACGTCTGCGACAGACACCTCCAGGGCTGTATTGCCGACCACCCAGGGTCACGCGTCCCGCCGACGTGGTTCGCGACGAGTCAGCGCATCCTTTCGCTAATCTCAGGGGCTGGGCTGAGCTGGAGCTGGACAACCACGGTTCGAGAGGCCGTTCGGCATACTGCAGTTTGTATAGGCTGGGCTAGTATGGAAGGCGTCGCCGTTCTGAGAGTGCAGATCGTGAGGATGTAGTCACATCTACAAAAACACCTTTTAGGGCAGCCGCGACTAGCTTCTCCGCCACACTCTGCGTCAGCGGCGGATTTTAAAGCCACCACAAGGCGTGCAGCTACTTTCTCAATTTAATTAGCAGAACCACGCCGCTTCCTACGTTCGTTGCCTAGGATACATTCAAAGTTGGCGTCTACATTGTTGGACATCCTAATCCTTTATGAAGCAATTGACAGAATAGGCAGCAAGTAATGCGGAGTCTGTCTGGTATATCAGCTCTGCTTCGTGAATTTACTACTAACTACTCAGTTAACCCTTCCAGTCCTCCTCGATGCATTCCCCTAAGCGAGGCGGGCTTCCACGAGTTCGTCTTGTAGTCTACCTGCTTGCATCACGGCGGAGTCCAATCTTTTTCATCGCACCCTTCAACACACGTTTCAAGCTGCGGCCACTCGATCGCTTCTTCGCCTGCTCTGCGCATGCATTGCCTGACTGTGCCTGACCGGTCTTGGCATTGGAATTTGAGACCCTCACAATAGAACTTGGAGGGGCGGAGAAACTCTTGTTTGAGGCGCTGGGGGGCTTGACGATGTGACCGGAAGCCTGGATGCGTGGAGATTCGAGTTCGTCTAGCGGTGAGGTAACGCTTTGTGATCGTGGGGGTAGTTCAGGTTCAGTAGGAAGATGGGGCAGCGGCGACATCCCCTTCTCTTGATCCGTCTCTTCCGTCATGGTTCCCACGGATCGTTCGGATGCCTCCATGTTCTTGATCTCGTCTAGATATGCCGCCAATCCATCGAGTACTTTCCCGTGCGAAGCAAGAAGGCTTTTAGAATGAGTCTTTGGTCGGAGCTTGCGCAGGGTTATATATTCTCGAACGACATGGTCGGCAAGGGTTCTTTTTTCCGCGAAGGTCTCTAGAGGCCATCCATCGGGCTTGTATAGATTACCGTTGCTGGGAATGAACGGCTTTAAGATCTCGTGACGTCCTGCGCGGTGTCGCGCATTGGCAGGCTCCTCGTGATCGTCGTGAATGTCGCTGTCAGCCATGGCTCTATCAAGTCGTTCGTCAGTTTTTGCTTCAGTGAAGGTCGTGCGGTACTCACCGTCGTGACTGCACCGCTCAGATTCGAGGTGACTGTGTTGTCAAGAGAGAAGATAGTGAGAGTGATGTAGCTAGAAGCATGTCGTGCGCGAAGTGGGAGGGTAAAGCGTGCCTGCCTTCATGTCCGTATCGGGCAACCGCAGATCCTCCGCGTTCACCTTCTTCTGACATATTCCTCATTTAGAGGAACTTTTTCTTGAGTAGACTTTAAGCTTGAGTGCATGTATTCGCTATTAAGTACGTAATCCAGTCATCCCATCTTTTGTTGGCACAGTCTTCCACAGCAAGTACTGGACTTCTATGAGCCTAGCTAGCTAAACATCCTGCTGTTGCACCAGGCTCATAGCTTCTCGCTTTACTTCACCTTTCTAAGCCGCGCATGCCGATTTGCGGACAGCCGCACATTCTGGGACTTGAATAAGCACTGCGATTACGCGAATATCTCATCAACACCACACTGTTACACAGTCCCCAAACACAAGCTAGACGCGAGAAACGCGCAAGGCAGGAGCATCGTGGTTGCTGTTACCCCATCGCAATCGCTCATTGGCCACGGCTGCAGCCCAAGCTTCCTCCCCTCATCATGCCCCAACTTCACGACATGACCGTACAACATGATTAAATCTTCTCTTCTCGAGTGTTCGCTCCCTGCTCTTTCGATTTCGTCGCGTTTCAAGGATGTTTCGTGCTTCCACCTTTCGCAGTCTGTTCGGTGATGGCGATGGGATGCTGGCGACACCAGCCAAGGTCTCCTGCACCAGTGTGGGACGGTAAGTACCTCTGTTCCAAAGAACACAGCTCGACCTGTAGTGGGGACTGTTCAGTTGTACCGTCTTAAGCGAACGCCGAATTGTGCTGCCCCATGCTCACCAAGGCGCTGAGAAATCTGAAGCGGAAGGAACGACATCGCGTTCTCGTTTGTCGCTACAAAAAGGAGCGGAGTAGGAACATACCCATTCTACTGCCCACTTTGGAACAAACCACTCAGGTAAACAACAGATTGTGGTAGCACGTGGCCCCACGACATACTCCAGTCTTCCTTCTCTTACTCTGTCCTCTCCTTCATCCTCTCGCGCAGCATCACCTCGATGTGAGCGAATGGCCGCCATGTTGTCCCACTCGCGAGGCGGTACCTACAGTCGGAACAAAACTCGCTGCTGTTAATCGATCCCATGTCCTCGGCATAGGTACATGCCAAGGCGTGTCCGTCGACGAACCGAGACCGACAACATGGCTCACCTACAAACCTATCACGACCCCAATGGCAGCAGGACCGATGATAGACGTGTTCGATATAACACATGTACCGCTGTATGATGGGAACGTCTTATGTGAGCGACCAATTCGAAGCCCTGGAGGTGCCGACGGGAGTGATTGGACGAACACTGACCTTTCGCAGACAAGACCATATTGCCAGTACACAAACACGCAAACACTACGTGAGGCTCCTTCATTGTGCAGCGACAGAGACAATATTGCGGAACCGTCTGCTCGCAATCCCTTGTTCAACCCGACGTTTGGCGTCGCAACTGCTACTTCGTCAATGCGTCATTGGCATTCACCATGATTGGCCGGTGTTGATACAGTGGACCATGAATCGCTGACAACCACTTCTCCAGCATGTTCGGGAGCTCAGAGGGAGTGATCCGGAGAAGCTAATTGCGCCATTGACTCCAGGGCTGAGAGCGGGTGGAGTTGTACTAACGCGAGATCAGTGCGCATAACCTATAGCATCATCGACCCCCATCCGGCAGCGACGCCAACATCTACCCCGGATTTTCCAACACCATGCTACTGGCGCCATTTCCGGAGGCCTAGCTTCCCGGAGGTCGGCCATGGCCAAAATCTTCCCCCGTATCGTTCCGAGCGCTTCGTCCAGCGTAGCCTGTGCTGCTGCAGGTACACCCGTTGCTGCCACCCCACCACACCCATATCGCGCTGCAGGTCATCAATCGTCCCGGACCGCACCAGAGGGGTCGTGCCACACATTGCTTCTGTGCGCACACCGGGTATCGCAGCGACGCAGCCCAGAGACCAATGCCATGTGGCAGAGACACCGTTCGCCGATGGCTGCGTTGGTGGGAACGGATCGACGTTGTGACGTCTGAAGATTGGCCTCCATATCTCCCAGCGCAGCTAGATATCGTCTCGCGAACGAGTCGCAATGTCTGGTGGTGTTGCGTCTCCGGTTGGTATAGGCCGCACGTGTGAGCACTGTCCATGCTCAGCACCACCACTCCACTGGCTGACTGGCTGCCTGGCGTGAACCATGCAGATGAGGCTCCCTGGATCAGCGCAAGCTATCATCTGGGGAAATACAAGCATTCTCGACCACGCTCCAGCACACGAGCGGGCCTCCAGCCTTGCCTAAAGCGGAGACGACACCGCCACATGCACGGTTCCTGATCTTCACGTCAAACGTCAGGCTATTTGTGAACTGTGATGTGACGTTTGCGCAGACGGTGCTACTTGTGAGATATTGACATTGTGAAAAGCTGTTGTTGTGTCGCTGGCGGGCAGCATGTCATCCAGGGCGCAACGGCCGGCGGCGTTACTCGATAGGCTAACGTAACATGGAAATTCGCCCATGTCCCTTATCTCTGGTGCCAGGGGGCATGCAGTGCTAGCGGATCGACGGCTCGCCCGCAACCCCGCTAAGCCCAACGTCGACGCACGATAATGTTGAGCCGACGTCGCTGTGCGGCTTTTTTACCTTTGTCGGGATGTCTCGAACGCGCTGGATTAATCACAATCGTGGGGTTGGAGAGGGATTATCATTTGGATGACGGCAATTCGTGCAACTCGAATGTGCCGCGTGCGCGCTGTGTCGCCGGCGGGCCAGGAAACCTGTGGGGTTGAGATGGGAATCTTCCAGCCGTACCATCGAAGTCGAGACGACACCAGCGACAGAGACTTCCAGCGCTCTTCTAGAATAATGCACGTCCTCTGGTCCCAGACAATAAAACGGACACACCGGTCGGAAGGCTATTAGAGTCTCGGATGCTGACTACAAGAAACGACGTTGAGCGGTTTGCGTGATGCTGCCATGACGAGGCAGGACTAACTGCAACTGCAGCCATTGGCCCGAACCGGCCTTATCGCCCCCCGATGTCAACCCCGGGCAACGGCGCGCCCTGCCCAGCGCGACGGTTATGCACTACAGCGAGCTGGGCATGCAGGTGTCGCGAGACGTGGACGCACAGGGTCTGGGTATTCAGGGTTGCGCAGCTCGTGTTGGGCACAAGTTGACGATGCATACGAACGGCCATCGCAAAGCAATAGTCGTGTGGAGCGGTGTGTCGTAACTGTCGTTGGTACGGGCCAAGGCCGAAGGGCATGACCAATTCGGCAGTACCTGGATAAAATTAGCTGCCCTTACAGCGACGCTACCCAGCGTCAAATCGCTCAAACTCGGAAGCTGGTGAGGCTGTGCGTCTGTGCGTTCGCCCGTCAGCCAACATCACGATGCGCGACAAAGACCGCGTGGGCCTATGGTAAGCCTTGGAAACCGGCGACGCGAGATTGGGCACAATATCACCAGAGAGACGGTACAACCGTGGCTAGCGGAAGCCTAGAGATTGCAGAGTGGGCAAGGCATGCTGGGATGCGGCGTAAAGTCGCGCGTTTAGAGACATTGATTGCTTCTTCATCCCACGGAAACAGTTCGGCGACGCCTCTTGGCTACGGCCAGCCTAAGTAGTATCTGAGCACGGCTAGCCCCGCCACAGGCCGAGACAGTCAAAGCAATCCAGCATTCTTACCTTATAACAGACCCCCAGGCCCGCTATCCTTATCTACTTGCCCATCATAACTCCCCACTTCACACAGAGACCCCTCTTATAACCCCTCCACTGCCTTGTCTTGTCGCAGTCAAGAGTTACTTGCTATTCCCTCACCACCACACATACACAACCACAGTCATGGTACGTGTTGCCGACCGCCCCTACACGCGACTCTTGCTGACCATATTCTAGGCGAACTCAACGATTGTTTCCAATGCGGCCAACGTAAGTCTACTGCTCGCGTGCTACATTCAAACACATTCTAACGCGCATTGCAGCTCAAGAAGTACCTCGACCTCCCCCAAAAGGGCGCCGTCATGGCCGAGTACGTCTGGATAGACGGTTCCAACGGAATCCGCTCCAAGTCAAAGGTGAGCATTTTCCAGCTTTCCGATCCTTCAATCCGATCTCCACGATCTCTGCGATATACCGCGGCATTTGCACCACGCTACGGCTGCGGATCGGTCTAGTCTGCGGTTCGAGGTTTCTAGCCGAGAGCAGCAACTGGCTGCAACGCACCGTACGATACACAATCTGGAGAAGCCCTTCGACGACTGGAGTCGCGAGCGTGGTGGTCTGCATGTGTGACGCACATGGCGCCAATCGCTCCTTCTGCCGGAAGTTTTGGCGTTCCTTCTTATCGCACCCCACCACCAGCCACAGCCCGCAGTGACGTCGTTCCCTTATCCCACCCGACTTCATTCCGATTACCCGAGGCTCATACTGACATGCACGCAGACGCTCAAGTCAAAGGTCGAGAGCCTCAAGGACCTCCCAGAATGGAACTTTGACGGTTCGTCGACGGGCCAGGCGCCCGGCGACAACTCGGATGTCTACCTCCGCCCCGTTGCATACTACCCCGACCCCTTCCGTCTGGGCGACAACGTCCTGGTCATGTGCGAGACGTACATGTCGGATGGCTCGCCCAACGCCTACAACTTCCGTCACGACGCCGCCATCATCTTCGAGAAGCACAAGGAGCACGGCTTCTGGTTCG